AAGCATTTTAGTTATCCGCAGGTCTTCCTCCTTTATCTCTCAGGGAACAATCTGAAATAGACTGAAGAGTTGCAAGAATGCTTGCCTTTTCGCCACGTCCTGGGAGTCTCCCTCTGCTCCATGACAATTTCCCAGTGCGTCCTTGTTTCTGGTGACCTTGGTAATTTGAGGGTAGTGTTGATAAATGTCCCTCGGTTGCATTTTGGTTCTATTTTCTCTTACATTTACTCTAGTGAGTGGACTGCAGTCGATGGTTGCAGGAGGAAAGGCCTAGAGGAGCCTGTCATGCGTGTCCCCTCACCCCACAAGCACGGGCCACAGTGTGATTTGTTACTGGTGGTCTTTGCCTTGATCACTGGCTTGGGGAATGTGCACCAGGTACCCCTCAACTCTCTGCTCTTCGGGGGAGAGGCAGTAGGCCCACTGACCTCAGTGATGGGAAGTTAGCAACTTCTGGTTCTGTGTCTTGGGGGCAGCCATCTACATAAATAATAGACACCCCCCCCCTCCGTCAATCACTATTACAAACACAACAATTCATTCTGTCGCAGCACGCTCGTGCGTGTTCATACTACACCTTAGATTACCAAGCAATAGGGTTTTACTTGGTTTTTTGCTCACACTTAGGTAGTTCTGGCCATTGAGGGGGTTTTCTAAGTTGTCCCTTGAGTCCTTTGGACAAGTCCCCTTCCTGTGTAATCTGAGCACTTTCTTGCTTCTTGCTACTATAAGATGCTTCAGGTTCAACTTTCCCTTGATTTGGCTCTAGGAAGCCATTTTGCTAAAGCGCCGTGGTTCCTATCCTGGAGAACTGAGTGTGGAGTCTGAGCTGTGGAGCCAGGATGAGCGTGGCGCTTCTAGGGTGTTGCTGCTTTGTTCTCAGTGGGCAGAGCTGGGACACGCACACACACACGTGCACATGCACACACACACACATACACGCACACACACGTGCACATGCGCACACACACACACACGTACACATGCACACACATACACGCACACACACACGTGCACACGCACACACACACACACACACACATCCTCGTTCTTTCAGGGCTGCACAGATGAGATCTCTTGGTCTCTGAGCCAGCAGTTTCTACCTTATTTACAGCTCCACTGCCCCACCAAGAAAAAGCTGGCTCCCAGCGTCCACCATTCTTTTTCTGATGTGTCTAGTCCCAATACATGGATAAAGCTGCTTAAAGTTAGCAGGCTGTAAACCCACCGAACACTTTTATCTGTGCCTTCGACATGAAAATTTATGTATTAGTTTTGTGCACAATAGAAACTTGAAGGAGAACACTGAGATTCGAGAATATTCTGGTAATCAACTGGAAAACTGAAGCTGAGCAGGATATGAATTCACAGACGTTCAAAAATAAATAAATGACATAAGTAGGGAATAGTGGAGCTCAGGCTTCCAGCCAACCATGCGAGACTGGGAAAGAGGCGGGGAATTTGACTGACCAGCAGCCCAAGGCATGATGGTATTGCTACACAAAACCAGAAGACGAAAATCTGGCAAGAAAATGTCTACCTGTGTATGCATGAGGCAGGCGCATGGCCACCACACATGCACACATTTATATCTGTCCTTTAAAAGAGTGTATAAGGAGAGGGGGAAGAGCCATGGGGGACAGATGGGATCATGGTCTTAAAATACTAGCAGGGATTAGATGTACCCTGTGCTGCTACAGAGGACGGAATTCATCCCAGGGAGGCTGGGGATCATTCCCAACTGGTGGGGCTGAACATGATGGGCCACAAAGAATCTCTTCCATACTTTCCCAGTGTTGGGGAACAGCAGACTCCTGGTCACAGGTATGCCCCATGAAATGAAAGCGCAACCCTAGAGTCACATTTTAAAGAGCTGTGGGGAAACAGATGGAAGGTTGCCCCATGGGTCATTGGTGAGAGATTCTCCATGTAAATCGAAATGGACAATTCAGATGAGGAAGGTCAAGGGCCAGAACAAGAGTGGGGTGGGAAGCACGTGACGATGAAGTCCAGTCAGTAGGCCAAACCTACTCAAAAGCATGAAGCAAAATGTGCACAAGAGGGTAAAGACAGGAAGGTAAAGCTGGTTTGATTAGAAGGAAAACTTCAAAATAGAGCGGACCAAACGTCAGACAAGATCTTTATCAAGAGAGGAATTCCCATCCGTGTGAGCACTGCCAAAGACTGGGAAGGGATGCAGATTCTGTGGAGTTCAGAGGGCATCTGAACACCGTGAGCAAGCTGCCAGGAGAGACATTAAAAACTAGGGTCAAGATGTCAGGGGCTGAAATGGCTTGTTGGGGTGCCAAACGACACACACTTGACTCAGCGTAACAGAGTAAGCTGCTGGCATTCTTGTATATGCGTGTTTTTAATTTAAAATAAAAGGTATTCAAAAAACAAAGACAGTCCAGTCCGTGAAATTGAAGCCAAGAGCACAGGACTCAAAGACTCCTGTAGGGTTGCTGTGTAGCGCCTGGCCTCTGCGCACCTTGATTCTGCAATTCGTAAGGAAAAGGGCCTGGACCCTGGACTTCTAAGGTTGCATACAGTTCTAACTACTTTTAAGAAGAGAATTCGTTAAGGCAAATCAGAATAAGTGCTGCATTCTAAGGTGCAGCTGAAGCCCCATCCCAAACCAAGTGTACGGTTTCTTTAACATCTTTGTTAGCAGAAGGAAAATAAGATCAGAGTGGAAACACTGAAGATTGCGATCGGGACCTTACTCCTACCAGGAGTGTAGTTCAAACAGAGCTGAGGGGAGGGAAATGGATTCAAAGCTCACAGATATAGAAGCCAGAAGCGAGTCAACTTGGACCTGCGGCGAGCCCTCTCAACGGGTGCCCGGATGACGTGATGGCCGTGGCTTGAGAAAGGAGCTCAGCACACAGAGGCCAGCGCTATTTTGGTGCGCACGTGGAAAGACATCCTGTCATGGGGTATTATATTCCGAGTGGGGGCCTCAGAGCACAGAAGCAAGTGGACTCTCAGGATCCAAGAAGTGGGGGTAGAACCCGGGAGTGAGCTGTCTCCAGACTGTGGGCCTGGTTCACCACAGGAGCTCAGAAAATGCTAACTAAAAGAATCTGGAGGAGAATGACAGTGGAGAAAGTGGTTCATTGGAGAAGGTGAATAAGCACATGTGTCCGGTAACAAAGACAAGGACTAACACCGCGTCATATGACATGCCTTCACGGTGGTTGCTCTCTCACCGCGTATGTGCCGGTAAGACAGCGACGAACACAGTGTCATATGACATGCCTTTATGGAGGTTGCTCTCATAGCAATACCTGGATTGATTCTGAGCCAAAGACTCCACATCAAAAGAATCTTTGAGGGCCTTTGGCTTCAACAGCAAAGTTTTGGCCACTGAGGTATGAGGGCCAGAGTTTTGACACCAGCCACTGTTAAAAAGCCGAGCATGGTGGCATAAGGCGGTGGCCCCAGCCACTTGAAGGCAAACACAGCAGGCTCGCTGGGGCTCTGTCACCAGCCAGCCTAGTAACTCAGTGAAAGACCCTGTCTCAGAAACGTAAAGTGGAGAGTGAGTGCGTGAGACACCCAACTTTAGCGTCTGGCCTCCATGCCCACTCACAGGTGTACATACACACCTACACATGCGTGGACACACAGGGGGGCTAAGCAATCAGAGACTGAAAGTGTATACCAGTCATTATCAGGGAGCGTGAAATTATTGCCCCCAAGGATCAAGAGCCCCATCAAAGCCACAAGACAATGACATAATCAGCTCACAGCCCAGTGCACCCTATGAGGTTATGGCTCCCAGGATGATCCCACATTGGGCCCTCAAACCTTCCAGAGCCCCAGCTCACTGGACACAGCCTGGTGCGGGGTCAGATCTGATTTTGGCCTTTGATTCCATGATATAATTTGACACGAGAAGGTCACCCAACCTCTCTGGATCACAGTTCCAGATCTAAAATCGAGACATTTCAAGACTCAACCTTCAGAGCCCTGGTCACAATGCCTTAAGTAATCAGATAATTGGCACCCAAGATGGTCACAGCCAAGTCAATACCTCATTGCGTGTCTATAGGATACACTGATGAAGGAATGAATATTAATCAAGTCTCCCAAAATCTCCCCCCCCCCCCGGAAAACCTTGAAGGAACAATCAAAAGTGAGGTTCTGCCTCTGAAAACCAGAGACTTTGATTCACTGTCACTGAACAAGCTGAAAAATCTCCCTGAGAGACACTTGAACCTTTTGAGTGCCATCTTGGAGTCGTGATGACCTCTCGTGCGTGTTTATACACGAAGATTTGTAATAGCCACTTGAAAGACGAGGGTTTTCTCCCCCACAGGGAGCAAAGCTCTGTGAAATGTAAGAAAATATTCCCAGTCCAGAGGTCCAAATATGTAAAATATGGAATGCTGGAGTTATTTTCACAAGTGGAAAACCCCTTAGTGCTTGACAAACCCACCTTCTGTGGAGCCCGGGGGCAGGCGCGCACAAGAGCGAGCCTCGCCCTCACCCAGCGTTCCATCCATCAGAGAAGCCTCACCAGCCTGGCTGAAGGGTGAGCGGCGTTCCTGGGTGGAGACAGATGACATCAGGAGAGGGAGAAAATGGCTCTTGGTAAGGTACTCAAAGAATTCCAAAGAGGCCCCGTAGCCTGGGTCACCCTCTTGTCATAGCTACTCAGGGCAATTCACTACCCTCTCAAAGTAAAATCATAATAACCCCCGTTTCCTCCATAAGGGAATTGTTTGGTTTCTTTGTATGACGCAAAACACTACATTTATTGTTAATTATCATGTTAACATTGCTTTCTACTGTACTGGACACATGAAATGGAATTTAATACTTTCAAATGTGTTTTTTAAAAGGCTTCTAAAAATGCATACCTTAATCCTCCCTCCCTTTCTTTCCAGCTGAGGGTAAATTTCCTCCCTAGGAAATTGCATTTCTTTCTACCATCATAAATGACATAATACCATTTATTTTCCAAAGATTAAGATAATAATGAGGCATTCAGATCACTTTTCAAAATGAAGATATTTAATAGTTGAGGAAAAATAAAAACAGAAAACACACAGCCAAGGGAAAGGGAAGGCATGCATAGAACTCAAGACCAACATCGTGCACCAGAAAATGAAAAAGATTATTTTTGGACCAACTTTGGGTACTTTCTGACTTTTCTGTTTCGTTTCCCTTGATCAAAGTGAAATATAATTAAAGATTCAGGAATTTCTCTTCTTGGAGACAGGCAGAAGTGACATGCCCGTCTTAGAGACAGCACAAGAGATCCAGCCCACGGTGGACACCACAGGACTTCATGATTCGCTGTGTCCTTCCTGCCTTGATGAAATTCCATCTGATGCTTCTACCCCAGCACACTGTTAATTACTTTTCTATTTACTTAGTAGGCCTGTGAGTGGAAGGCAATCTATTGCCAGGGAGATGTTTGACTCCTATGCTAAGTAGACAGCATTCCAATGCAGTGAGGTTGGAGACAGCCTGGGCCCAACTTTTATCCCGTTGCCATGTCAAATTAGCACCTATCAGACACCTAGTTTGACGGGAGTTATATTACTTCTCTGCAAAAACCAGTCGTTCCTGGGTGTCAATAAAACTGATGCACACGGTGTTCTCTGCTTCTTTAGTCCTGAAAATAATGGGAAGGGTTAACTGCGAGGTCTGAACTCCAAGGAGGGGAGGGTTCATGACGGATCTAACTGAGAGACACTGGCCTTTTAATCCAGGATAGAAAATAAGCGGAGGGCTGGTGAGCTGGCTCAGCTGAGGAACGCCTTCAATCCCCAGAACCCACAGAGGAAAGAGAGAGAGGACACACTCCCAAATGGTGTCCATTGGTCTCACACGTACCTCCTCTCCACCACCACCACAAATATACTAATAATGAAGAACATGCTTTTAAAAATATGCTAAGACTTAGGAAAATATCTCAGTTTGTAGTGTACTTGCTGTGCGAGCTTGAGGACCCAATTTCAATCCCCAAAATCCAAGTGAGAAAGCCAGGTATGGTGGCACACACTACAGCACCAGTCCTGGGGAGGCAGAGAACAGAAGACACTGGGGCTTACTGATGAGGCAACTCTGCCTACTGGTAAACTCAAGTGCCACTGGGACTGTATCTCAAAAAAAAAAAAACAAACAAACAAACAGACAAACAAAAAAACATGTGGAGAGCTCCTGAGGTTGACTTTGTTCTACATACACACCATACATACACACCCAATTACACACAGAGCTACACACATATTACATGCATATAGACATACACATCACATCCACACACAAAAATGTGCTGACCTCACAAAGGCGTACTGAGAAGAGGGTTGACGTCCAAAATGTCTGCAAAGGTCAGCTCTGTGCCCTTGCACCAGGTTTCCACAGGGCCACATTAAGGCAGACGACCTGTGCCCACACTGAGGTCACGTGGTGGTCAATCTGAAGGAAAACAGAAGCAGAGCTAAGTCTTGGTCTTCCATCCTGTCTCAGCACCGGAGAAGCAGGCGTGTGGCTGCTCAGCTGGAGGCAACTATTTAAGGCGAAGAGGAAGGATCCCAAATCTGATGACAATGAAAGATCAGCTTCATTTCTGTTCCTCAAACTGGGGAGCAAAGATCCTGACATCCTCTTCATGCAGTCGCTCACTGCTCAAGAGGGGGAACTACAACTCTCTCTGCCATTCAACCTATTAATGCATTTTGTCTTCTTCCTGTTTGGTGAGCTATCCCTATGCTCAGTGAGCCTGGTCTCTTTGTTAAAGGTTCAAACAAGCTCTGAGCAAAGGTGTAGCAATGGCCCAGCTATCAACATTCTATTCCTGCGACCATCTTTCCGTTAGACTCATTTCCTTGCCAGGGTCATAAGTCTACAGAGGATGACGTTGCACAAATGACACCCTAGGGTATCCAGGGACAATGCTAGATAGACCCTAGACCTTTAAGAGCATCCCTCTCTACCTCCCATGGGTCTCAGTTCTCCACTGTCCAAAGACACCCTATGCAGTCTGGCACAGTCACCTGACCCTGCCTTAGAGTCTCAGCAGGCCCCCTGGCAGCAGTATTACTGCATTTTCCTTCGCCTGCTTACCCAAGAGTTTTATCTCCTTTAACCTTCAGGTAACACCCAAAGGTTTATTCTGCTATTCTTACCTGTTTGGATTCCTTTGGGACTCTTGCAAAACCTGATCATAGGTCCTGTGACCTATGACCTTAGATAGAGAAAACAGAGCCTAACAGGAGATTCTTTTGAGCCCCAGTGCCTACAGCTGTCAGGCCCTTGGCCCTTCCTGTTCGTGCATCTCCCATGATTCCCTTTCCCTCTCCTTCATGGATGTGGGTGGGGCTCTATTCCGCCTTGCTTCCTCCCAGTTCACCTTTGCTCCTGGCTACAGAGCAGGACCCTACCCACAGGCTGTACAGCTTAGGCTATTTTAGGACGTCTACTAAAGCGTTGGCCATACTTGGAAAAGTCCGTCAGCTATCCAAAGCCTTCTGCCGCAATGCTTGCATTTCTTCCTGACCCTTGACCTTGTCAGTGGGGACAGACACTATCCCACTGTCAGAATGTTACCTTTGAGAAGGTTCAGATAAGTCTCTCTCTCTCCTCTCTCTCTCTCTCTCTCTCTCTCTCTCTCTCTCTCTCTCTCTCTC